TCATCGCAACATCAAAGAGTTGTTTGGAGATTAAATGAACTGTCACATAGGAAAATGCTGAGCATATAGCAAGTGTTCAGTAAGTAGCATTTTCTTTTTTCCTTCTTTCCCTCTGCTTGGGGATGGGGTACAGCCCTGGGGGGATGCTATCCAGCTGCAAGGAACCTTAGAACTTTATTAAATGTTTAGTGAAAGCTTATCTCTTGAATCATTGTTGTAATTAGTGCAGTTAATGGTCTACAGAATGGCTGCATTCCATGTACATTTCAGAATGAATGAGACCTGGTTGAGCTCACTCTCATAAATTGTTTCAGTGATTTATTTACTCAGACCAGTGGATCGCCAGAAACTTCTTCCTTTCCTGCCATATGGCAGCTAGTTTAGTGACAAGCAAACATTTGAGTAGGACGTTTCACCCAAAATCTTCATATAATTACTATTGGTGCTTCTGTGCAGTGGGCAGATAAAGAGTTGCCCCCACCTGGCCTGTGGGTGCTAAATGAGGTTTCGCAGAGTCACAGATAGGTGGGGAAATCAAGGGAGCCTGGTCAAGGAAGTCTTTCTACATATTCCTTAGTTTGAAACTTTATTCACTTTGTTCAGGGTGATGGTTAGTTGTATGTGTCAACTTGGTGGATCACGATACCCAGATACTTAGTCAAACACTATTCTGGGTGTTTCTGTGAGGGTGTTTTTGGATGAGATTAGCGTTTAAATCAGTGGACTTTGTTGGTGGTGGTGGTTTTTTTGGTTTTGTTTTTTGAGACAGTCTCACTCTGTCACCCAGGCTGGAGCGCAGTGGTGTGATCTTGGCTCACTGCAGCCCTCACCTCCCTGGTTCAAGCGAGTCTCCTGCCTCAGCCTCCTGAGTGGCTGGAATTATAGATGTGCACCACTATGCCTGGCTAATTTTTGTATTTTTAGTAGAGACGGGGTTTCATCATGTTGGCCAGGCTGGTCTTGAACTCCTGACCTCAAGTGATCCACCTGCCTCAGCCTCCCAAAGTGCTGAGATTATAGGCGTGAGCCACTGCACCTGGCCTAGATCAGTAGACTTTGAATAAGCAGTTTGCACTCCCTAATATGGGTGGGCCTCATCAAGTCAGAAGACCTGAAAAGAACACAAAAAGCATCCTTATTTGAGCAAGAGGGAACTTTCCAGCAGACTGCCTTCAGACTCCATCCGAAGCACCGGCCCTTCCTGTGTCCCCCGCAGATGCTTTTAGAACTAGAAAGGGAACATGAGCTCTCCTGGATCTACATCCTGCTGGCCTGCAGGTTTTGAACTTGCCAGCATCCATAACTGTGTGAACAAATTCCTTTTAATAAATCTCTCTCTCTACACACATACACATACATATAAATACATGTGTGTATTCTATTGAATGCATTTAGTAACCTTTTTTCTACCCAACAAATGATATGGATATCTGTTTCTTTTCTTTGGAGCCTCACTCTGTTGCCCAGGCTGGAGTGCAGTGGCATGATCTCGGCTCGCTGCAACCTTTATTTCCCGGGTTCAAGCAATTCTCCTGCCTCAGCCTCCTAAGTTGCTGGGACTACAGGCACATGCCACCACGCCTGACTAATTTTTGTATTTTTGGTAGAGATGGAGTTTCACCATGTTGGTCAGGCTGGTCTTGAACCCGTGACCTCAGGTGATCTGCCCACCTTGGCTTCCCAAAGTGCTGGGATTACAGGTGTTAGCCACTACGCCTGGTCAGATATGGATATCTTTTAATAGCTTTTAATGTGTGTCTGCAACATACCAGTCTCTCTTCTCTCCCTTACCGGACCATGAGCCTCTTGAGGGTAAGGGTTTTTTTTGTTTTTTTTGTTTTTTTAAATCTTGTATTCGGTGACTGCTCAACAGCTGGATAAACTTAGCTATTGTAGTTCCCACTGGCTGACTAAACTGATGCTCAGAGAGGTTAAATTACCTATCCCATTTGGTAAACTTTAGAGTTAAGACTTAAAAACAGGTCTGTCTGATTTCAATCTTCTATTACAACAAGCAAGAATCTGTGCTACCTGCAATGGAAGACAGAAGCTCCAGTGTTTGCTGGCCTGGGAACAATGTTTAGTTATTTGAGGCTGGTGGGCGGCTGAATATGTATCTACCCGTGAGTCAGAGGCTGATTTTATTTTCACGTGGAAGGCTCTGTTTCTATGCTCAACACATCCAGCAGCGAAAGAGGTGCCTCCTTGTCCCTTGTCTGTTCCCTTTAATTGTCTACATGGTTCCCGTCCTCTCCCACTACCACCATCAGACTGCTACCTCCCAGTGGGAGAAGTTACATCTGACCTGCATGTCCCTGGTGACTTTACTGGGCCACAGAAGGCGTTCAGTGAAGGCTTGTTTGGAGACTGGATCCAGACCATTCAGGATGCGTTTCCAATAACGCTGACCATTGGCCTTGTGTGCTTACTATGTGCCCAACCATATGCAGAGTCACTAGAATAGTAAAGCCACAGGAGGAAAGCACACAAGGCAGAGCTATGTCTTCAGCAGATGTTCCATAGATACAGGATTGCCTCTGCTCGGAAGAGTATACCCAGAACCTTGAAGCCAGCACAGAAGGTCCCTGAGCCATCAGAAAACTGTCGCAAGATCACAGACTGATGCTCACCCGTACAAGACTTAGAGGAGCATTCTCCAAGCCCTGGCTCAGACTCAATTTCCTGCTAATTCATTCCACAAAATGTTTGATGGTCTTCCACCTGCCAGATGCTGTCCTAAGGGCTGGGGTTTCCAGCATGATTAAGACACCGTCTGTGCTTAGAAGGAGCTTGACTGAGAGCACAGAGGTGGGTGCCTAACCTGGAGGTCAGCAAAGGCAGGGAAAATCCCCTTTCTCTTCAGTTGCAAGTTGTTCAGTTACCAGGTTTCTGGGTCCACAGCAGTCCAGAAGTGGCTACTTAGAAGGTGGGAGCAGAATTATTCCCGACACTTCCTCTGAAATCTACTCCACATTTCCGCAGATGACTTTGAGTAGAGTGACAGCTAGGGCTTTGGGGAGCCCATTTCTATGGTCTATGCAAGGCAATCAGTGGACAAGGCAGAGACGACAAACCCATAAAGAACTCATAAAAAAGCTGGAGAGGCCAGGGCCAAATAGTGTCGAGGTACATGGCCCATATGTCCCAGGCAGGCCCTAGGTACGCGGCAGTTAGCCTTAATCATCACAAAAAAATGGTCATTATGTTTCGTATTTTTATGCTTCATATTATACGTAGACATATACGTTCTCTCTCTGTCTCTCTCTGGACATATATGAGAGTTGGGATTTTTTTAAGTTTTGGTACATAATCATCTCCCTAATTATGACTCATCTCCAGACAATTCGAGATAGTTGAAGAGATGAATGACCACAAAACAGCTAGAGAACAATGCACACAGGAGTTGATTGTGTGCTTCTCACAATAAGTGCTATGGGAGTTGAGAGAAGGGAGACATGAGTGTGGGCTCAGGCACCAGAAGGCTATGGAGTGAAAGGGACCCCTGTGGGGACAGCCACTGAGGTCATGCCAATCTGTGTTTCCATCCTTCCTGCTGCCCCTGGAGGGGCCCCTGGGAAGGCAGGAAGGCACAGGTGTTTCTCCTTGTGCTGGAGTTTCGTTTGGACGGGGCTGACTCCCGAAAAGGTGGATCTGGATACGAAGTTGGAATGCGACCGGCCAGGAGAGCTAGGCAGCTGTGGTGCAGAGGACTCTTCTACCTCTCCTCCTCCTGCCCTAACCAGCTCAGCACCAAGCACATGGGCACTTTAAAAGCCCAGGACATGCTGGGAGACTCGCTGTGCTACCCTCAACCCCTTCAGCAGGAGCAGCTCTGTAAAAAACGCAAGTGTGGGCCGGGCGCGGTGGCTCAAGCCTGTAATCCCAGCACCTTGGGAGGCCGAGATGGGCGGATCACAAGGTCAGGAGATCGAGACCATGCTGGCTAACACGGTGAAACCCCACCTCTACTAAAAAATACAAAAAATTAGCTGGGCGAGGTGGCGGGCACCTGTAGTCCCAGCTACTCGGGAGGCTGAGGCAGGAGAATGGCGTGAAACCAGGAGGCAGAGCTTGCAGTGAGCTGAGATCCGGTCACTGTACTCTGGCCTGGGCGACAGAGCGAGACTCCGTCTCAAAAACAAAACAAAATAAAACAAAAAAACGCAAGTGTGACCTTCATTTTGCTTTGTGACTTAAAACCCTTCACCATTATTCAGCTGCAGCTCAGCATGGTGGTTGGACTCAGGAGCCAGATGACCTGGGTTCAAATCATGGCTGCACTACTCACGAGATATGTGACGTTGGGCAGGTCAGCTGGCCGCTCTGTGCCTCAGTTTCCCCATTTGTAAAATGGGGGTGATGGTAGTGAGTGTCCTAGCCCACAGGGTTGTTAGGAAGCTCCAGGGAGGAAGGCTGGTGAGGAGCTCCCTGACTCCTCTCTGTCTTCTCTTCTGGCTGCATTCCTTCTCTCTGCTTCAGCCTCTTCTGGGCTTTGCTCTGCTGCCATCTTCCCCTGGCTACCCGCTCATCTCTCAGGTCTTCGAGGAAATGGCACTTTCTCCCTGGGGTGTTCTAGGGCTCTGAGCCCCTCTCAGCTAGGTGAGCTCCCCCATCCTGGACTTCCCAAGCAGGTAGTTATTTGATGTTGCTTCCCCTGGTCCACTTGTCTAATGGCTGAAGGCATCTCAGAGAGGGGGTGCTACATCCATGTGATTTGCCTGTATAGCCCCAGTGCCTAGCAGAGTGCTTGGCAGACACGCTGGGTGCCAAGAAAGCAATGGCCAAGTGGACGAACTCACAAAGGATGGAAGGAGGAGTCATAGGCTAGTGCACAGTACCCAAAGGACAGAGCTGAGGCTGCTGGTCAGGACAGCTTCAGGCTCTGGCCAGGCTCCAGCACACAGCTGGAGGCACCCGTGACTCTAGCTGGGAGGGGCTGGAAGATCCAGGCAGCCCCTGACCGCCCTCCTTCTCCTTAGTCATGTCCAGTTCTGTAAACAAATTCTCAACTACACCAGAAGGCAGCTGAGAGAACCCAGTGAAGAAACCTTTTGCAGAGAGAGAAAAGAACCCTTTTGAATGTGATCAATCACCCTGATTTATTTGGATGATTTCTCTTCTGGATTTCCTTAAACCAGGGAAAACCCAGGTAAGATATTTGGGGCCGTCATTCATCTAGACAAAGGACATAAAAGCTTGTTACATCAAAAGCCACCCCTGGAAAAAAACAGAGTTTCATCAACCCACTCAGCTATTAATATGAGATGCTCTCTGCCTGGGGACAGCAATTGCTGTAATTGATGCAAACGGTCCCAGCCACACTCACTGATTGTGGTTCTGAAACTCAGAGCTGCAGTTGACCAGACTGATGCGGCCAGCCTCACTCTGAAGGATCCTGCAGCAGGCAAATTGCTGGAATGTGTTCAGACGGAATCCAGCTGCTACAACCGTCACACAAACTTCCTAGAATAGAGGACAAAAGGTAGCAACTTGTTGCTTCTTGAGCCAAGAGATTTAGAACATGAGACCAAATGAGAGAGATTAAAATAAAAAATGCAAGAAGTCAGTGAAATGAGGATTTAGCTCACCAGGCCAAAGCAGGCAGTCTTGGGTCTTTGCTGGACAGTTGTAGCTGCCATATAAGCTGTCCCTGCCGGGGCTGGGATCTGGAGGCTGATGCTGAAACCTCGGCCTGGAGGTGATGTTGATGAAGCAGGGCTCTGACAGCCCCTACACTGTCAGAGGTCTGGGCAGTGCAGATGAGATTATCACTCCAAGATCCTCAAAGCATCCAGGAAAAAAGCACATCTAGGTACATTAGCTGAAGTTTTTAGAGCACTAGTAAGCACCTAGTAGAGGCTCAGAAAATGCATATTTTCTTTCCCTTTCCTGAAGACCAGGGGCCTAGCTTGGTCTGTATTAATTACTATATCAGAGTCCTTATTTGCAAATGAAAGAAACCAACTCTAGTGGATTAAAATATAAGACTATTACTTCTTACTGATGGTGAGGCATGTTGGTGAAGCAGGCTTATTGAATGAGCAGGCTCTGGGAGGGTGTGCAGCTAGAACCATGGCCCAAATCACCATGCAGACCTCTCCCAGGGAGATCCCTGTTGCTTCTGCCACTGAACAGCAGACATCACAGCATGCTGCACTGACTCCATGGCACCAGGTCCTGGAACCTGGATGCCAACACAGTCCAGTACCCTCTACTCTCATTGAAATCCATGACACCAAGCCTTGCTGCTGCCCCACAAAGGAATTCTCCACAGTCCCTGCTGCTTTGGATCACTCACTCCAGATTCAAAATCCTGGCTGTGGTTTCTGGCCAGGCCCAAGTCACGTGCCATGCCAAGGTTCAAGATAAGCTAGGGGGAATAAGTATCTAGAATGTACACCTTTCAAAGAGGAAAGTGGGCTCCACTTCCCACTAAGATTCATAAAGTGGGGGATTCTTCCAACAAAGAAAGGGGCTTCAGAGGCTGGGCAGCTCAAAAATAGCACATCCCCTGCAGTTATACTTGGGTTTCCAGTCTACATGGCAGAAAAAAGAAGCAAAAGCTATGCATGGACAGTGTGCAGAAGCTGGAGCCTGGGAAAAGCCTTAGCCTGGATTTCATCTTTCTCTCTCTGGAAAAGGTTGGGGGAGCTTTACTGTCATTGATGCCCCTACCTGGAAGGCTTTTCCCTCCCCAGACTTGCCCTCCTCCAAGACCCACAAAGATCTCCCTCTTGTTGAAGATGCGATTCTACCTCTAGATTGCATCACACTTTTTAGAAATGAATTACTTCATTTATGTAGGTCTTGTCAAGCTCCCCCAGATGAGGACAAAACTCGTATTCATTAAACAGTTAACAAACATTCACTGAGTGTCTGCTAGGCCTTGGGGAGACCTAGGGCACAAAGACGTGGCCTGTGCCTTTGAGAAGAAGGTCACATTGGGTGCCAAGTGTGTGGAGGTGTGAAGGCTTTGCAGAAGAGGTGACTTATTTAAATGGGTCTTAAGATGTTCCCAGCCATTGGTAGAGGGAGAGGTGCATCTCAGAGAGAAGGAACAGCATGTACAGGGCAAGGAGTCATGAGAAGGCATGGCAGTTTTAGAACGGATTTGTTGGGATATGGTGTGTGTGTGGGCAGCAGGCAAGGAGGTGGGAGGTGAGGTCGCTGCTAAAGATTGGGACCACATAGCCGGGCACGGTGGCTCATGCTTGTAATCCCAGCACTTTGGGAGGCTGAGGTGGGTGAATCACGAGGTCAGGAGTTCGAGACCAGCCTGGCCAAGATGGTGAAACCCCGTCTCTACTAAAAATACAAGAATTAGCCGAGCGTGGTGGCGGGAGCCTGTAATCCCAGCTACTTAGAAGGCTGAGACAGGAGAATTACTTGAACCTGGGAGGTGGAGGTTGCAGTGAGCCGAGATTGCGCTACTGCATTCCAGCCTGGGCGACAGAGTGAGACTCCGTCTCTAAAAAAACAAAACAAAAAAAACAAGATTGGGACCACATTCTTTTTATCCCAATCTTTAAAACCTGCTGGTTTTGTTTGTTTGTTTTTTGTTTTTTGTTTTTTTTAACCCATTGAGTTTACATTTTGTTTTATTTTCTTATTTTTGTAGAGACAGAGGTCTTGCTATGTTGCCCAGGCTGGTCTCAAGCTCCTGGCCTCAAGCAATCCTCCTTCCTCAGCCTCCCAAAATGCTGGGATTACAGGTGTGAGTCACTGCGCCTTGCCTGAAACCACATTCTTAGGACCCTTGAGTATCTCCCTGAGGAAAAGACATTGTATCCTGAGACCATTAGAAATCATCAGATACTTTTTAAATTGATGTTTTGATTGTGGTATATATACATAACATAAAATTTACCATGTAAACCATTTTTAAGTGTACAGTCCAGTGGCATTAAACACATTCAAAATGCTGTACAGCCAGCACCACCATCCATCTCCAGAATTCTTTCATCTTGTAAAACTGAAACTCTGCACCCATTTAACACTCACCCCCCATGCTCCCCTCACCCTAGTTCCCGGCAACTGCCACCATCCTACTTTCTGTCTCTATCATCAACACTTTTAAGCCCGAGGGCCACCTGCTGGGATTTTTAAGAAAAGTCCCCACAGCTACACTGTAAAGGATAGGTTGGAGGATTTGGGGTAGGAGGCGACTGCATGGCAGTGGTTTGGGGGGTGTGTGCAGGAGGGTGACGAGAGAGATTACAGAGATCTTGATTAGATGCGGAAATCAAGAGGCATCCAAGGTCACTCCAAGACATCTTTTTATTTTTATTTATTTATTTATGTTTTTGAGACAGAGTCTCACTCTGTTGCCCAGGCTGGAGTGCAGTGGCATGATCTGGGCTCACTGCAACCTCCGCCTCCTGGGTTCAAGCAATTCTTCTGCCTCAGCCTCCTGAGTAGCTGGGACTACAGGCACGTGCCATATGCGCAGCTAATTTTTGTATTTTTAGTAGAGACAGGATTTCGACATCTTGGCCAGACTGGTTTTGAGCTCCTGGCCTCAAGTGATCCGCCTACCTTGACCTCCCAAAACGCTGGGATTACAGACGTGAGCCACTGTACTTGGCCCGAGGCGTCTTTTTCTATTTTATTTTCATGATGTTAACCCCCACACCCATTCTTGTGTGAGACAGAGAGGCGATTATGATCGTACAGGAGTTTTAAATAATCCTCTGACCCTATCAATTCATAAATATTTCAAAATTACAGGCTATTTAGAGGGTGAAGGACATCCTCCCATATCATTCCCATAAGATGTGTGAGAGGACTTTAGGGCAAGTTTGCATGCTCTAATCCATTTCATAAAAGAGAAATCATTTACGAAAGTAGTTTATGGTCATGAAATGTGCAATGACAATTCAGAACAGTTCCTGTGCTAAGAAGAATTATCTGAAGCTTGCACTCAAAAGACAGCTGACTAAACACAGGATCTGAAGTGATCAGAAGACCCGGGTTCCAGGCCAGTCTGCCACGAACTCGGTGACCCTGGGAGAGTGGCTTAACTTCTCTGCATCTCTGTTTCCTCTTTAGCACAGTGGTTGCTGTGAGAATTAAATGAGATGCTTTGTGTAAAGCCCTGCGCAGCATGTGACCCACAGTGAGTGCTCAGTTCACAGTGGTTGCTGTTGTCTGTTATGATAACACTGATCATCATCATTATCTCCAAGGACTCATTCAGCCCTGACGCCCTGCGCTTTGAAGTTGTTCTTTTTTTTTTATTTTTTTTGAGACGGAGTCTTGCTCTGTCGCCCAGGCTGGAGTGCAGTGGTGCCATCTCAGCTCACTGCAAGCTCCGCCTCCCGGTTTCACGCCATTCTCCTGCCTCAGGCTCCCAAATAGCTGGAACTACAGGCAACCGCCACCAAGCCCGGCTAATTTTTTTGTATTTTTAGTGGAGATGGGGTTTCACCGTCTTAGCCAGGATGGTCTCGATCTCCTGACCTTGTGATCCACATGCCTTGGCCTCCCAAAGTGCTGGGATTACAGGCGCGAGCCACCGCGCCGGCCTGCAGTTGTTCTTGAGAGGGAGATGAAACTGTCCATTCCTGGTTGTTCTGAAGAGAGTGTCCCACCCTCCCTGCGGGGCCTCCCCCATCCCTGTAGGCTAAGCCTCAGCTTTTCTGGAGTGTGACATTTCCGCCAGCCTCATTCTCTTTCTTTCTCACTTCTCCCAACTTACTCTGGCCCCAAATCACCCTGTCTAGTCTTCGTTAGCAGCTGTGCTGTTTCCTTTTCTGCCCCCATGATGCCAACATCTCCTCTGAATCTGGGCGCACTAGAGGTAGAGAAGGGGTGAGACCCTGTCCTCTCTCCTTAGGCCATAGACCCCTCCCTGAAGCTCCTCTGCCCCCTATCTCTGAGCCTCAGAGCCTTCCTTGCCACTCGGAGCTCCCCTTTGGGTGCCCTCTTGAAAGCTGTGTTCTGGGTACAGAATCTTGTCTAGAGCCTCAGATATTGGGACTTTTCCTGTGGGAGGCCAGGCTGAGGGACACCTCTGAGCTCTGAGGGGGCTGCTGGGCTGTGACTTGGTGCAGGGCTGACATCTGTATTTGAAACACAGAGTGGGCCAATGTGAACTCTATTGACTGAGAAGAGACACAGGTGCTAGAGTGAAGGTGCATGGATTGGAGGCATCTTGGAAACCCACACAATAGGAAACGGCTTTGGCCTGGACTCTTCCCACAGGGCTAAGTGCTCCCTACCTAAGAGAGAACCCGTGTGTTTTTCTTCTTCGCAGTATGTAGTTTAAAATCATTTACTTCGTAGACAACAATCCACAGGGCTAGGCACATACCCAACTGACTGATTGGTAAGAGTCAAATATTTGTTGATGGAAAAAGCTTCAAGTTGTGTTTAGAAATTGTTCATGAAGTTAAACATCTATTTTGAAGTGACTTTGGTTGTGAGGCTTGAGGTTCTGTATCACCCTATAGTTTTAGGGTCCTTTACATTTTTCAGTGTTGTTGAAAAGCAATTTATTGTTCACCATGTGCCATGGTAGTTCCCCAACTTGAGCGCAGAGACTGTGTTTGTGTCTCTCCCAGCACCTAACAGAGTGGTGAATGTGTAGTAGATATTCAATAAATATTAATTTCGAGCATCTTTTATAGCACACATTATTTATTCTAGATCGTTAACCTCAGAAATTCCAACTTAGTCACCTGCCAGGCCTAATTCCTTGTTTCAAGTAAGTGAGACACCACTCGGGGCTGCCTGTGATCAGTGCATGCTGCACGTTTTCATGCGTGTCTGCCCGGATTCCCGTGTAGTCAGCTGATGATGATTGAAAAGTGAGTATCCAGCAGGCATTGCAGGGACCAATGTCTCATCAGAGACCCTGTTCACATATGCTCTTCACTTGGTGAGCGGTTTTACAGGTTTCCGATGACAGCAAGTATTTGTCTGTATTTCCCGGTGCAGAATTCTAGGCTCCTGGCAGCTTTTGTGAAAAACCATAGGCAGGAAAACCATCACGTACTCCAAAGTTCTTCGAAAGTGAGTTTCATCACTGACCAGAGTTTCGAGTACAGAGTCATTCTCTTGGTTAGCGCAGAAGTAACTGCGCTACGGTAACTGACCAACAAAAGTGCCTTCCAGTTCAAAGTCGTGTTTAGTCTCACTTGAGCCCTCCGTCACTTGGATTAGGGGCCTCCCTGTCATTGCTGGAAGGGACTTCAGGAAGCATCTCTTCCAGGTCTTTACCTAAGGGCCGATGTGGACAGTGTGTGGCCCGGACAGGTGTGTGGGTTGCGAACATACTGAAATAGGCTGCTCTCGTGAGTAAAGATTGGCTGCCCCCAAGCATCATGAGTGCCCCCCTGTCACTCCCATTCTTTCCTGGAACCCTATAAATTCTCCACACCCTGATCTAGCAATGAAAGGGTTAATCCCTGGCCCAGCCCTGGGGGTGGTGGGTGGGGGCCTCCAGCTCTGCTGCTTCTGGGACTGCCACGTTGGGTCTTGGGTCGGAGGTGAGGTATTTTGACTGTCACTCCTGGCAGTGGGGGTTCGGACCTGATGCACTGGAGAGCTGCATCGATGGGTTCCCAGTGAGGAAAGCTGTGCGAGGACGTGGCTACTTCAGGAGATTGAAGCTGGCTGCTTCTGGGGCTAATCCTGAGGAGGCCTCAGGAGGCTGAGAAACTCAACACATGGCATGTGAGTTGTGTTTGTGGCTCTACCTACAGAGAGCCTAGAGGTTCTGGGGGACCTAAGTAGGAGAGGCAGATGATGTCACCCCCGCATGTGCACCCCTTCCATGGCTGTCCACCTGCCCAGGATAATTAAACCCCTGAGCGTGGCATCAGGCCCCCAGTCCTGGTCCTTGCCCACCTCTCCGCTGTCTCTGGCAGTCCTCCTGCTCTCCAGCCCCTCCTCCCTCCCTGCATCATGCTCTTGCCTCTACCTGGAATGTCCTGCTCTTTGTTACTGACAAGAGTCTACTCATCCTTTAAGACCAAGGTTCTCCTCTTCTAAATTTTCTCCGACTCTTTTCCAAACAGCCCTGACCCCAGGGCCACCACTGCCCACCATAGTGCTTTTGCAAGGTTCAGGAGACATCCAGAGAAGAGGCATGGCAGAGGCAGCCCACCAAGGGTGCAGGCTGTTCTTGAAGCTCCCTCCCCTGTTCAGCCATCTGCACAGTGTCTGCCCTCGCCCTGCCCCTTGCTGTCTCATTGCATGCTGGCACCTGGTGGACCTCAGCATTGCATTTACTGCCCTCCCTTGCAACCATAGGTTTCCTTCTGTGCTTCCTCCCACTGGCCCATGAGCTCTCCCAAGGCAGGGCCTGTGACGATGGCTTCTGTATCCCAAGTAACTGTGATAAGTAACCACGGATCCCATGGTAAGCTGTCCACAAATTTTTTTTAAAGGAGAAAGAGAGCTAGAGGGGAGGAGAGGGAATGGGTAGAGGGAAACTCCCTATAACCTGTCTACTCCTCCGGCTCCCTTGGTCCTCTGGGGCAGTGCTGCTTTAATGGACAATGGCAGCAATGGAGGAAGAAGAGGAAGGGTGGGCGTGGTGTGTCCTGGCTGCAAAGAGGGCTCCTCACCAGGCTCTTGCCAGCGCCCAGCCCCCATAGACCCAGCCTCATGTTTACTTGCAGGGAGAACATATCTCTGGGGAGTGTTTGGGGAAGGGATCTCCCGGATATAGGAAAGCCTGGATTCTTCAGGGGAGCAAAGCCCCCCGAGATAGGATGTCCGGCACATCCTCGGGCCTCCTCAGAGGAATAAGGTGCTGTGGGACAAGGTAGAACCATACCCATCTTCCTGAGCACGGTCCCAGGCTGGAGCCACAATGAGGAACAAGGAGTCCCTGCCCTTGGGGAGTCCCAGTTCAGTAGAGATAAAAATCAATTACAGTACAATTCTCTACACACAGGGAAAAAAGTCTCCACAGTGCTGAGGCAGCCCCAGAGAAGAAGAGAACAATGCTGTTTGGGGATGGAAACTCACTCATAACGTACAGGAAGGGAGGTCAGGAGTAAATGACACTTACCTTGGGTTTTAAAGAATGAATAAGGGTTAGGCAAGCCAGTGCAGGATGGAAGGGAGTTTTAGGCAGGAGAAATGGCATATGCAAAGACAGTCATACATGAAAAACAGCGTGCTCAGGAAGACACAAACAGGGAGATAACGTTGGGAGCTTCAAGTACCAGGCAGGGATAGTGAGAGATGGGGCAGAGGAGGTGGGTGGGAGTGAGAACACAAAAAATGGTAAATGGAGCTCAGAGGGATCTAGAATTTACCTATTACCTTCATTCAATTTACAATCACTTATTAAGCTCCTTCTCTATGTGAGATATTTTTCTTCGAATCTTCCCAGCAATCCTTATTCCCCCTTGTCACTAAGGAATGGGCACACCTTGGACACCACACGTCATCCAGACCCACTTTATAGAAGGGGAAACTGCAGCTCAGACTAGGTAAATGGGGTATCTGAGAGCTCCCAGTTGGTTAATGTCTGAACCAAGACTTGAATCCAGATCTCTAAATTTCCCAGTCCTGGCTCTGGTTCCAGACCCTTGCACTATGTGTGTAAAGCAGGCCCTTCAGACCTGAAACCATTTCTTATTTATTGACACCTGAAGTGGTTCGTGAAATGATACTCAGGTCAAAGGAAGCCAGGATCTCTTTTGAAGCTCCGAAAATCAAAGAGACTCATGATTTGGTAAAGAGACTTCCATGACATGTGCATAAGCAGAATTTTCTGCTTGAAAAAAAAAGATGGGTTGGGGAGCTTGTAAGCACCTCCCTTTATGTTCACATGGATGCCCATTTCTGAGGCTGGCTTGTCAGTTGCTCAATAGTGGTTCTAGTTTGCAAACGGTTCACCTTCAGGGTATTGATCCCTCTCTAGTTCTCTCATTGATGTCCCTGTCATTGAGTGAGCTGTTTCAGCAGTGCTCCTGTTCTTTTTCAAAGTCACCCTCAGTTGCCATCGATTCCATCAGCATTCTTTGCAGGCTGCGGCCTTATTGGTTTGCAAGGACAGCAAATATTGGGAGTTTGGAAACAGCACGCTCTTGGCTTTCCTGGGGAGGGCTGGGCCCTGCAACCAGGTGGGCTTTGCTGAGACAGAAATGAGTGGCAGAAAATGACTGATTGTCTCTGGGTTACAGCTTCAACCGCTAGGGCTCCCTTGGCTTCTTGGGTACAAGTCCTCCCTACAGGACACACAGACTGCATCCTTCTGCCTCCCTACCCGACCCTGCACCCCCTGAGTGCCATCTTCATAACCGGAAGAAGTCATGAGCTGGAAGTCAGCAGGCAGCCCCCCTGCCCAGGCTGTGCAGGATGCGATGTTCCAAACCATGCCCAGATCTGCACCCTGAGGCCCCTGGTTGTGTGGGGTAGTGGGCAATGCCCAGGTTTGGTGTCAGACAGGCAAGGTTCATACCTCAACGCTGCCATTTCTAGTTACGTGACCTTGGGAAGGTTACCTGCTTTTCCTGAGCCTTTATTATTAAAATTTTATTTTGAAATTTCATTTCAAAATGCACTGTCTAATATGGTAGCCACTAAGCACACGTGGCTATTGAACGCTTGAAACGTGATGAGTCTGCATTGAGATGTGCCGCGAGTATAACACACCTGGATTTCGTCCCTCCCCAGGTACAACAGTGACCCATGGTGCAGTAGGGAGGGCTGTTTTCCATGCCCAGCGAGGCCTGCTCAGCGCCCATGAGGTCTTTATGGATGGCCTGCCTCCCAGCTGGTACCTACCTGGTCCTGTCACAGTCCCAGGACTCTAGACCTCAAGGCAGCCAGGCGGGTGCTACAGATGGTGACCTCTCAGTGGCACAGCCTGGCCCTGCAGCAGAATGCAGTGTTGGGGGCGGGGTGAGGGATGGAGTGTGGATTGTGCCAAAACAGGAGTTTCTATGTCTAGTCCTGCCACCGACTGCACCTGCATTGCTGCGTGACCTTGACAGCTAGTCCTTCCGCACCTGAACGTCCTCATCTGGAAACTGGACTTGCCTCCTAGGGTTCCTGCAAATATAAAATGAGCTAACACCTTTGAGGTATTTGGCATTGTCCTGGCACTTGGCAAACACATGATAAATATTAGCAATCACTTGCAAGGGGTTGTGGGGTTGGGGGAGCTTTGCCCCTCTCCCGCCTCTCCAGGGCTGAGCAGCAGTGAAGAGCTTTCCGCATAGGAGAGAGCAAGAGAGATAAATAAACCCACATCTTCCTCTGAAGGAGGCTCCTGCTGGCTGGCTGCTCACCTGACCAAGTCTCCCTCCCAGCCTCTCTTCACTCTCTGGTCTGCCCTCAAGGGAGCCAGGTCACACAGCCTCAGCACCTCTTGCATGCCAATCTCTAGCTGGTGCCTTCCACTGGCTGAACCCCATAGAGGGCGGCCGGGCACCGTGGTTCATGCCTGTAATCCCAGCGCTTTGGGAGGCCAAGAGTTCAAGTCCAGCCTGGGCAACACGGTGAAACACTGTCTCTACAAAAAATACAAAAATTAGCAGGGTGTGGTGGTGCTAAGCTTGCAGTGAGCTGAGATTGATGGGTGCCACTGCTCAGCCTGGGCGACA